GTGTCCGCCTCCTCCTCCGGCTGGCAGCTCCCCTTTCCGTCCGCCTCTTCGTGTTTCTGTCCGTGTCCCTCCCTGTCTGTCCGTGTCCCTGTCTGTCCGTGTCCCTGTCTGTCTGTCTGTCTTTGTCCCCTGTTCTCCGTCCCCTCCGTCTCTGTCGCTTTCTCCCTCGGCGCCTCTTTCCCGTCGGGGTCTCTGCAGAGCCATCCGACTCCCTCCCCCACCTGTTGCTTTCCTCTCTATGCCCGTTTGTCCGCGGACCTTCCCTCCATCGCTTTCTGCGGACTCTGACCATCTCCCCTCTGATCCCCTGTCCTTTGTCTGTCCTTCACTTGCCCGTCCCTGTCACTCCGTGTCTCGGTCTTTCTCCCTCTATCTCAGAAACTGCATATCTGTGCCTCTGCCATTGCCCCTCTGTCTCTTCCCTTCTCCAAGTTAGGGCCACAAACTCTCCAAATGCCCTGCCCCAGCCCGCTCCCAGGTAACAGGCATGGCCATAGGAGAATTCCTTGCCAGCCCCCTGTGATTCTGAGACTTAAATAGGCATAAACACACGTGGTCACCTCCATTCCCTCCTGTCCCCCCCACCTGCTCAGGGAAGACATGGCTGGGGTGGAGCCTTCTGCAAGACACTTGTGTTTCTTTCAGGGGGCAGCCAGGATGGGCTACTGCTCTCAGGTAGCGGGAGAAGCAGAGGCAGAGGCGGGTGAGGGAGTGTAAGGGGGTGTGAGGGGGGAGGGTGGGGCAGAATCCTGGGTCTGAGGGAGGAGGGGACTGGAGGCCTGGGTTGCAGGTCCCAGGGGACAAGGGTGGGCGGTCCCCACGAGATCCATGACTCCTGCCAAGGTCTGCAGTTGGGAAGCATTTATTATAACTAAGTGGCCATGACAGAGCAGGGAGGGGGGAGGTGACGCGGAGGCTGCCACAATCAGTCCCCTAGAGGCAGTGATTAAGGGCTCATTACCAGCGGGGTCAGTGAGTGGGTGGGAGCTTGGAAAAGGCAGCAGGGAGAGGAAGGAGGAAGCGCGCAGACACTCCCAAGGGGGAGGTTGAGGCAGGACCCTCCCGGGAATGATTGTGAAAAGGGCTGGTTCCAGGGAGCAGGGGAGACACTGCAGCTGGGAGCATAGCAGACGGGGGGGCTGGTCACGGCTTCTCCAGCTGGACGTCTCCGATGTGGAGGCTGCCCACGTCCTGGTAGGTGCCCTGGAGGCCCCGGGAGATGTCCTCGTACATGGAGCAGTCATCAAGGTTCAGGCCCTGGGGTGCACACGTGGTGGTGGGCCTCAGTGTCCTGATGCCTGGGCCCCTACCCCAGAGGACCCCCAGGAGGCCCCCAACGCACCTGCTCCGAACCTGTGCCCACCCTCCACTCACCTCATAAAGGTTTTCATCTTCGTAGTCATCCCGGGCGTCCACCCCGAACTTCATGTTCTGCCATCGTTTCTGTGGGGGGTGGGAGTCTCAGTGGGTAGGGGGTATGTTTTCAGGCCCTTCTATATGTCAGAAGGGCTTTCCCAGAGCCAGTAAGGGACCTTGCTCAAAGCCACACACAGTATTGGTAAGTGGCACGGCTCTCTGGGCTCAAGCCAGTGTTCTTTTGGCTGTCTCCACTGCCCAATTGTTCTCCATGAATCACAACATCAGTAGTAAATAGCTATGGTTGCCCTGTGGCCTAAAGAAACTGCAGGTCACAGCGGCTGGGAGGATCCCCAGCCCCCGTCTTCCCTGGCCTTGGCTACATCTGGAGGGCTACAGCACTCCTGTGTTGGGGAGAGTAAAGCACCCTGAGGGGGTGGAGGGTGGGAGTGGGGGTAGAGTGAGAACATCCCTAGAGAAGGGCAATGATGACAGCCATGGGGAGACTGAGCAAGGGCAGCGCCCCAGCACCATGTAAAATCCTGTCATTGTATTCATTTGTTTACCACCCATGCGCCCCTGTGTGTGTGTGTGGGGGGGGGCTGTCATTCTCCCAAGTTTTGGGCGGGGACCCTCAGACTCCAAGGGCCTGGTCCCAGGTGGCTTACCCTGAACAGCAGCAGTGTCCCGGGCACCACAGCGCAGAATAGCAGGATGATCCCCTCCGCTGTGATGATGTTGTTCTTGGTGCCCTCCCCCATGTCCAGGAAGGGTCTGGGGGTCGGCTCTGTGAGAAGGGGGTGCTGCTCAGAGCCCTGGCTCCTGGCCCTGTTCCCGGCCCCGCCCCTAGCAAGGCCCCACTGAAGCCCCCACTCTGCAGGTGAGAAATGGGTAAGTGTGTGGGAGCCGGGAGCAAGGATGCTCGTGATGCAGGCACTGGCTCCCTCCGCACTTCCCAGTCAGGAGGCTTAGAGTCCCTGGCACTCACCACGCACACGGAGGTAGGTGCCACAGGAGCGCCATTCCGTCTTGTTTTCCAGAGCATGGCACCTGTATAGGCCTCCGTGGCTCTTCTTCACCGATGAGATGATCAGCTCACCATTGCTCTGGCCCCAGTCATGGAACTGAGCGGGCCACGTGAAGTTGCTTTGGGGGATTCGCCACCAGGTGACGTTAGGGCGGCTGCCGTTATGCAGGCACGGGAGGCGGGCCTCCTCCCCCAGGATCACCGTCACCGATGGCGGGCCCCTATCTACCCACAGGGTCTGGCCCCCTGGGCCTGCAAAGAGGCAGGTGGCTCAGGGACTGTGGATGGGATCACAGGCCCCAGCCCCAGCCTCTGCAGCTGCAGCACTCCTGCGTGTGTGTGGGGAGTATGAGGACCCTCCTGGGGGAGGACAGGGAGGTGTGGGGCACAGAGGACACACGGTGTTGGGCAGGGAGTGAGGGGGCACCTAGGGAAGGAGAGAAAGGTACCCCTGAGAAGAGAGAGGACATACCTTGGGCGGGGGTGGGGGGGGTGAGGACGTCCTGGGGGAGGAGAGTAAGACACCTGGATGGTGACACAGCCCCGGGTGCCCGCTCTCCAGTGCCACCTCTTGCATTTGGATACTTAGTTCCCTGGTAGCAGAGGGCCCCTGCCCAGGCAGCGACTTCCAGAATCAGTTTGGGCATCACCTCCTCCTGAAGGCTTTCCTGGTCCACATTCCCGGCCCCAGCCCAGCCCCACACTTGACACTATCTTTCCTTTTCAAAAAACCCTTAGAGGAAGGTTCTCTCCTTATGCCAGTTTTCAGGTGGGACAGCAGAGCCCAGGGCAGCAGGAGTGGGTAGGAGGGGCGCTGGGGAGGGCCAATACCAGGCCTCCTGGGCCTCTTCCTGCCTTGTCTGGTGTCTCTGAGCCCGCCCCTTATTCTCTGTAACGTGCACGTGTCAACCTGGGGGTCAGGGGTTGAGTTTAGTCCTTGGGCTGGGGGTTAGGGGAGCGTCTCGGCAGTGTGGGTGGTTAGAGGGAGCTGGTGGCCCAAACGAGCGTGCCCCCCCACCCCCCAAGCCCCAGCTATCAGAGCCAGTCCATATGGCTGCTCAGCCTCCTCTGGGGAGGGAAGGAGGGAGTTGAGGAAGAGACAAGAAGGAAGAAGTGGGGCAGAGGCAGCAACCTCAAGGTCAGGGGCTCCATTCCTGGCTCCCAGTGTAACCTCGCGTGACCAGCTGCCTCTCTGAGCTCCTGGGTCAAACAGGTGGTCAGAGCCCTGACAGCTGGCGTCGCTGAGGGAGGATGGTATCATGAGGCACCCCACCCCCAGCACGGAGAAGGGGCTCCCTGTGCAGGGGGTGACTGGGATTCCAGGCAGAGAAAGGGAAAGCTTTTTCTTCACTCTGAAGCTGAGTGCACCCCAAGGTCCCCTCCTGCCCCCAGCTCTGAAGCTCAGTCAAGGGCAATCCTAGTTCCTCATTTTGACCTGAGGGACAGGGTAGGGAAGGCACTCTGGCTCCTGCCTCCCTCCATGAGGCGGCAGATGCCCCTTTAACATCGCTGAGCCCCCTCCAGCCTCCCCGAGGCCTGTTTGGAACAGTCAAGCCCACAGACAGATGCAGTTTCTACAGAGGCCTTTCCCAGCTCCCCTCCTGCTGTCTCCTCTCTGCCTGTGCCCTCTCTCCAGCCTCCCCAGTCCCTCCTCCTCTCCCAAGTACCCGCCTGTTAGCCACATACCCAGGCCAGCAGCAGAGATCAAGAGGAAGATGATGCCAGGCAGCGGGACTTGCAGGACTCCGGGACCCCCAGGCATCTTCTCCCAGTGGGTTGGTCCGTCTGGCTTGCAGCAGTCCTGGGGTACCAGATCCCACCTCCGCAGGCCCCAAACCCCACCCCACTTCCTGCCCAGCCCTCCCGGAGATGGGCTTCACTGGCCTCACTGCTGGGCAGCTCCTGCCAGTGTGCTTCAGATGTGAGCTGAGAGGAACTGCTCCCTGCACCTGTGGTGGCCGCAAGTCCCCTGAGGGGAGGTTGCTTGGGTGGGGGAAAGAGGCTAGTTCAAGGTTTGGCTCCTCATTGGGTGCCTGCTGTGTGCAGGCCGTCAGGGCAGTGACTCTGAGCTTTCGTAGTCGTAGTCCCTACTGGCTTTGGGCAAAACCTGTGCCCAGGCTGAAACTCTGTGTGCTCCCTTCGTTGGGTTGGAAATGAGGATTTAAAGGCAAGGCGTTGTGCATGCACAGCACTGAACACAGCACCTGTCACATACTATAGGTGCTCAGTAGTGTTGGTTGCTGTTAATGTTCATGAGGAATAAATGAGGCAAGCCAGCGGGCTCTATGAAGGGAAGTGGTGACTCCCCTTTCCAAACCTTTTGTTCTTGTTACTCCTCACCCGAGGGTATTTTTTTCATTGATTTTTAGAGGGTGGGAGAGAGGGAAAGACAGAGAGAAATATCGATGTGAGAGAAACACACCGATTGGTTGCCTCCTGCACACGCCCAACCCAGGGAGGAACCTGCAACCAAGGTACGTGCCCTTGACCAGAATCGAATCCAGTACCCTTTGGTCTGCAGGCCTACACTCTATCCACTTAGCCAACCCAGCTAGGGCTCCATTGATTTCTTTAGAGAGAATGAAAGAGAGGGATGGAGAGAAAGAGGCATGTGAGAGACACATTGATTAGTTGCTTCCCAAACTTGCCCTGACTGGGGCAGGGGATCAAACCAACAACCCAGTTACGTGACTGGGAATTGAACCTGTGACCCTTTGATGTAAGGGCCGATGCTTTAACCACTGAGCAACACCAGCCAGGGTAAGCCTTGGCATTTTTAATCCAAGAGACTAGGATAACGCTCTGTTGTGACATGAGATGTTCCTGGTACCCAAGGAACTAATAGCGATGATGGGCTCTTTCTTGGCATTCTTGCACTCAGCCTCCAAGCATCAAGCCCCTCCTTTTACAGAGGAGGAGACTGAGGCCCGGAGAGGGAATGCTGTCACTGTCACTTGTCTGGTGTTGTACAGTCTGGTGGCGGAGCAGGTTCTTTTAAGCATCATTTTAGGCCAAATGGGAGGAAAATAGGTCTGAGGGGAGCGGGTGGGGAATGATATGAAATTGTTGAGATGTTTCTGAGCAGTTAGGGGACCATCACACACACACACACACACACACACGGGGGCACATAGGAAAAACTTTTATTGCAGGGAGATTTCTGGTAGCAAAAACTGGGAAAAACCAAACGATAAGCCCGTGCGTGGAGAATGGATGCATACAGTGTGGTGCCGTCAGCCGATAGAGTAGTGCACCGCAGGAGAAAGGCAGGACCTCACGTCCTCACGTGTCAACAGGGCTGCATCGGAGAAAAAAACATGAAAATGAGAAGTTACAGTAGCATGATATGGTTGACTTGTTTCCAAAAGGCAAAACAGTGCTGTGTGCTGTTAGGGACATGTGCGTCTGTAGTCAAGGTGCAGACAGATAGGTGCAGGGGAGTGACACCAAGTTCCTGAGAAATTATCTCTGGCGGAAGCCAGGGGGTCGTGACTGGGAAGGTTACACAGAGGGCTTTGTCTGTCTAGGTTTTATGTCTTTTTTTGTTTTATTTCTTAAACTAGGTGGTGGGCCTATGAGTCTTTGTTACACTATCATATACACTGTTTTGCTTGCTGGAAGTATTTCATAAATATTTTTAAAAAGCAACTGTTATGCTCACAGAAGAGCATGGCCTTAAGGAGCCACTATTCCTAGGTTTGAATCTCAGCTCTGCCAGCTGGCTGGCTGCCTGAGCCTCAGTTTCTTCAGTAATCTGGGCACAATCCCCCACCTTGTGAGGCTGTGAGAATATCGGTGTGTTTAGCACAGTTCCTAGGACAAGTTCCTCTTCTCTGGCCAGGAGGCTCACTCCCCTTTCCTCCAGCGACCCAGGTGTTGTCGGGACACTGGTGTATATAGCAGGTCATTAGCCCCTCTTGCCTTAGTTCCTTCTCATGATCCCCCTCCTAAGGAAGAAGCCTGGAATCAGAGGCTGCAGCCCTAGAAATTCACCTCCTGCCTCATCCATCAGTGGCTGAGCCGGTTTCCAGGCCCTCGTCTGCCCCCTAGCGGGGGGGGGGCGCCACTTTGCCACTCCCCACCTATGGAATACCAGACAAATCACCCCACCTGTGACTTACTTTCCCCTTCTTCAAACTGCAGGTGCTTTTCGGCATTTACTTTACAGGGTTGCAGCGTTAATGATACATATTTGCAAAGTGCCTTGCATGTGGTAGGCTGTTTATTCACAAGTTTCCAGCACTGACAACTGAGCTGGGATGACAGTGTAGGATTCTGATTTAGTATTCTTTGAGTATCTTGGTCTTAAACAGGGTAACACCGGGTTGACTGGCTGCCTGCCAGATGTGCTGCTCTGAGCCACAGCACCATCTACATGTGGTACCTCTGGAATCCCTCAGGAGCCAGCAGTGCAACAGGTGAGGATTGGAAGGTTTCGAGTGGGAGTGTTACTCAAGAGTTGCACAGTTAGGGGCAGAGTTGCCATCTGAACCCAAGTTGTTAGAAATTCAGGCTTGGCACTGGAAAGTGGGTGTGATCCTAAGTTACTTGGACTGGGGCCTTGTGCAAGCCAGCTCAGCTTTAGTTCTCCCCAACCAGGCAGGGCTGGTCACATGGGGACGGTAATGGGCCCTTTTCCAGGCTTGCCCATCCCTATGGCTCAATGTGTGCCCACTGGGCACCCTTTGATTCTACCACCCACACTAGGGGCCCAACCACAGGCAGAGCTCCTTGGCACCAAGAGCCCATCACCATGCAGGACCACTGAAGCTATGCCAGGTGACAGCACTCTGCCTGTGCAGGCACATCTAAGTCTGTTTCAGAGCAGGGCTATAGCCAATGCAAAAGTGAAGGCTCAGGCAGGACTAACCTGCCCACACAGGCCAGGAAAGCAAGTGCATACCAGGCACACAGCTCAACCAAAGCTGTAAGAGCCACAGGGCGTCAGGGTTCTGTTCCTGTCCACTTCCTTCCAAGGAAACATCTCAGTACAACCCCCCTGCCCCTCCCGTGTTCCAGCAGGAGAGAGTGCCACTTCAGCAACCCAGACTCCAGCTGGGGCCACTGCTTGAACAGCATCTTCTTTTAGTTTCTCATTTTCTGAGAATTGCAAAGGCAGGATATGAGGGAGGTCCAAGGGTTTCTAGTTCCTGCCCCGCCCAACCCAGGCGTCTTGCCCCTCGGGGGAAGGCTGAGCTTTAGGCTTTGGCAGCCACAGCCACCCAGGGACTCCTGGCTCCTTCTTCCTCATGCCCCCAAATGGAAGAGCAGACAATCAAGAGACCAAGACCAAGATTATAAATGAGGCAATTTATTAACCCAGCACTTGTTCTAATGCTTCTTGTTGGCAGCTGCCACCTGTGGGAAAGATGGAAGAGTAAGTTAAGATCAGTCACGGGGTCCATGTTCTGGCACTTTGTAAGTTACCCACAGCCCAGACACCATGCATCCTGTTTTGTGGTCTCACATGTATTCTTGTCTAATCCTCACAACTCCAGGTACCTCCCCATTTTACAGAAGCGTCAACAGGCACTCAAGAGCGCTGGAGTGGGATTCCAATACTGCAAATGCCATCATATACACTGATGCCTGTGCCAGGCCCTGTGTTCACCTCTCCTCTCAGGCCACCCAACTCTCAGAGGGCAACACCTTCCATTCCTTTCTGACACTTGATGTTAAGTGACTAAACACTCCAAGGCTCCTACTAGGCCCGAGTCAATGATACTGAAAGAAGGAAACCATATGGGTTTATGCCAGGCCCTGGGGGGCTCCCACTGCTTGTAGATCACGGAATCCTAACCACCCCAAGGTAGGCAACCACCCCAAGGTAGGCAGGAGCAGACTGCTCCACAGATAGGGAGACTGGCTGCAGCCGAAGAACTGCAGGGTGTCCAGCCAGTCATCAGGATGGACACCTGAATTCTGAGCCAGCCCGCCTCCCTCTCTCAGCAACCACCCCATCTCGTGCCCAATCAGCATGAAGAGTAAGGAGACATTGATGCCAGAATCTGTGCAAGGCTGATGCCCTGCAGGAAAAGCAGCCCAACTGGACTGTGCCCTTCAGGGAAATTCTGATTTGACAACCCCCAGGCCTGAGGGAACACCCAAGCAGTGACAGAGGGACCCAACCCTAGCCCTCACCCAGGCCTCACCTGCCCTGCGATCCTGTCCAGATCTCTCTGTCCCTGAGGTGTCAATTTGCGGCCCCTGGGGAGAGAAGGGTCATGAATCCCTCCCGGCCTCATTTCCCTCACTTCCGAGGGGCAGTGCACTTAGTAGGTAGAGCCTGGGTTCAGATACTGGCTTTGCCACTCCCCACCTATGGAATACCAGACAAATCACCCCACCTGTGACTTACTTTCCCCCTTTTCAAACTGCAGGTGCTTTTCGGCATTTACTTTACAGGGTTGCAGCGTTAATGACACATATTTGCAAAGTGCCTTGCATGTAGGCTGTTTATTCAGAAGTTTCCAGCACTGACAACTGAGCTGGGATGACAGTGTAGGATTCTGATTTAGTATTCTTTGAGTATCTTGGTCTTAAACAGGGTAACACCGGGTTGACTGGCTGCCTGCCAGATGTGCTGCTCTGAGCCACAGCACCATCTACACGTGGTACCTCTGGAATCCCTCAGGAGCAAGCAGTGCTACAGGTGAGGATTGGAAGGTTTAGAGTGGGAGTGTTACTCAAGAGTTGCACAGTTAGGGGCAGAGTTGCCTTCTGTG